TACTAACATTCGTCAACTACGGCGTTTTCTAGGAATGATCAATTTTTACAGACGTTTCCTACCGCTCGCGGCTGAGTTGCAAGCACCACTAAACAAATTATTAGTTGGAATAGTAAAAAACAACCAACCGATAACATTGAAAGATGAGTCACTCGATGCGTTCGAGCGATGTAAACAATCCCTTTCAAACGCTGCATTATTAGCGCACCCGGATTGCCAAGCGAAACTCGCACTTATTACCGACGCATCGGACACAGCTATCGGCGCTGTATTACAACAATTTACAGATAACGCGTGGCAACCGCTTGCATTCTTTTCGCGTAAATTAAGTCCATCTCAGGTTAAGTATTCACCTTACGACAGAGAATTATTAGCTATTTATGAGGCCATTAAATATTTTAGGCACATGTTAGAAGCTAGGCATTTTATCATTTATACTGACCACAAGCCGATCAGTTTCGCATTCCACGAACGGAAGAAAAACTGTTCACCTAGACAGTATAGGCATTTAGATTATATTGCTCAATTTACGACGGATATCCGTCATATTTCCGGTAAGGATAATGTTGTTGCCGACACTTTGTCTCGTGTCGAAGCGTTAGATCAACCTCTAGACTTAGAAGCTTTAGCTAAAAGTCAGGCTAATGACCACGAACTTCAAAAATTAATTACTGAAGGTTCGTCGTTACATCTAGAAAAATTAACATTACCCGGGTGTCGAACCCCATTGTACTGCGACGTAAGTACACCGACATCTAGGCCGTTTGTAACAAAATATTTCCGTAGACAGGTATTCAATTGTTTACATTCTTTGAGCCATCCAGGCGCTAATACAACAGCGAAGTTAGTCGCAGAACGCTACGTATGGCCGAGTGTTAGAAAAGACTGTCGTGATTGGGCAAAAACCTGTTTAGATTGTCAGCGCTGTAAGATTACGCGACACGTTAACGCACCGCTAGGGACATTTAATTTGCCCCGCGCGAGATTCAAATATGTACACATCGATCTAGTAGGGCCGTTGCCGTTATCGGATGGGTATCGATATTGTTTAACTTGCGTTGATCGCTTCACGCGATGGCCAGAAGCTATACCGATCGCGGATATTACAGCGGAGACAGTAGCTAAAGCGTTGCTTTCGTGCTGGATATCTCGTTTTGGCTGCCCGACGGACATCGTAACAGACCGCGGCAGACAGTTCGAGTCAGCGTTATTTCAACACCTCGCGAAAATAGCCGGATTTCAACACAAGCGTACGACTGCTTATCACCCAGCAGCTAACGGTCTCGTTGAACGCTTCCACAGGCAATTAAAAGCGTCCATAATGTGCCATGCGCCACAAAAATGGACCGAGTCTTTGCCGTGGGTATTGTTAGGGATACGATCGTCGTTTAAAGAAGACTTGAACGCGTCGTCGGCTGAACTTCTTTACGGGGAGCCTCTTAGGTTACCCGGCGAATTTTTTGATCCTGTAAGTTGCGGTACAACTGATGTCAGTGACTTCATCGCTCGATTGCGAGCTTTTGCGCAACAGTTACACCCGACACCAGCCTCGCGACATGGTAGCAAAAGTGTTTTCGTTTATAAGGACCTCGCCAATACCGATCACGTCTTCCTGCGTGAAAACGCGGTGCGGGCATCATTGCAACCTGCGTATACCGGTCCTCACAAGGTCGTTTCTAGGAACGACAAATCTTTTACTTTATTAATTAACGGGAAGGAAGTAACAGTCTCCATTGACCGCCTCAAGCCAGCGTACATTTTATGCGACAGTAACAACAATGCCGCAACTAGTGACGATACTGTGGCTAAGGATTATACAACCCGTTCAGGACGCAAGGTGAAGTTCACCGATTTTTATCGCCCTTAACCAGGTCTCTGGAGGGGGGTGATGTAGGTGACCTCCTACATATTTGCATAAACACAACACAGTCACGCATACACGCACACATAAACACGGGTGCATGACGAGTGGTCGACGTCACGTCGATTTGTTGACCTCTGATCGGCAAATTCGAATTGCAACGCACAGCTGAGCGGGGGTCACTGACCGGTTTTGCATACGCGCGAAA